CTCAGCGTCTTTGGCGGAAAGGTAACGGTTAGCGAAGATAGCAGTCACCAAAGCCGGCACCTCTCTCGCACTCGGCCACGGCCGCCCGCGACTCGCCGCCGCCGGTGTGCGCTTTCCGGAGGAGTGCCGTCATAGCCTTGGTAGACATATGAACGCCGACGCGCGCGCCTTCTCTGTGCAGTCACCATTTGACACTGCGCTGGAGCCGCTTGATAGCGCCTCTGACTGGCGTTTGCCACTGTGGTATAGCTATAAAGAAGGAGAAGCAAATGCGGCTCAACGGTGCAGTAGAGCGGAGAAGCTTAACTCATGGGATCCCGAATTAGTTGCCCGGCAAAATAAATATATGTGTGTCATTGCAGCAGCAGTATGTATGATAATCAAGCTAATCATAATCAAGCTAATCATAATCAGCTGAACCTTTGCTATATCCTGACATAACTGAGCTGAGCCACTGCCATTTTTTCTCTTCTTTCTCTCTTTTGTGTGCCCCCTTTTTTTCTACTTATCTCTATTGTGTCCTCTTTCTCTCGCTATCACGTTCTCGTCCTTGCTCTTTTGCGAAGGTCATGGGTTCGATCCCGGCCTCGGCATTCGGATTTCAGTGAAAGCTAAAATGGTGGCGGCCTATGTGCTGTGCGATATGCACATGGTAAAGAACACCACATGGTCGATATTTCCGGAGCCCACACCTACACCATCTCTCGTAATCGTGGTTCTGGGAAGTAAAACCCAAAAATATGGTATATCTTTATTATCACTCTTCTTCTTCTTCGTCTTTTCCTTCTTATTAATAATAATAATATATTATTATTATTATTATTATTATTATTATTACTATTGTTGATTGTAGTATTGGTAGTAGTATTTCTCTTTGTAACTTTGTTCTTTTTCCGGCATTATTATCTCTCTCTTTTTTGTTATTATAAAGTGTGTTTTACTCGCTGCTCTCCTCATTTCTCTTCACCTCGCTCTCAGTTCGCTTGTCTACACCTTTGCTGTGGGACACTATACAAGGCGATGCTGTGTTTTGTCAGCGTGTCTCAGTAGCCGAATGGTCTGGCACTCAATGAAAACGATCAAATACGTAGATTCTTGTTCTTCCGTGACGTCTGTGAATATTTTCTGTGTACGTTATGACAACTGAGGTTAAGCAACACCATACCAGATCTCGTTGTCACCACTGATAATAGCATGACGAGGACATTGTCCGGCTATCTCAAAGAAGTAGTAGATAGCGTGCGTTTCTTGTTCGTTTTTTCTTTGATTATCTGTTTAGTGTTAGAAGAAAAGAAGTGCATAGAGAATTATGTGACGGTGTATGTCCAGTGTCATTGTACAGGGCCATACACAGTAGGAGACCAGGACAAAATGTACTGAATAAAGTAAAAAACATGCAGGTACCAACAAGGATGAAAACATTTTTTTATTTTTTTAAGCTACACACAGGAACACTATCAGTGAAGACATTCACAGAGAAACGGGGCTGTTACACACCATGGGAATCACACTGCCTGATATGCGAGAAGCCTAAAACAACAGATCATGTTTTTCTACACTATTGGGAAGGAGTTTATTTTTGGGATGTCTTACAAAGAACATTAAAGAAGGAGTTCCCACTTGATGCACATGGGATCAGGTATCTGGCTGTGAAGATTGATGAGGGAATCTCATTCGATCTGGGGATGTTGAGCGGCCTCCACTGTATATGACGCGCAAAAACGGCTGAATACCACAACGACCCGGATGCTAAACGAGCAAGAATTTATTTCAGGCAAAGCATGTCAGCTTTCATTGAGATGGCGAAAGTACAGGAGTGCATGCGAGAATGGCTGATGAGGTTGCAACCTCTGGCAGCCTTGAAGAAATTTTAGGTAGACAACACTAGTCGAGGTGGTACTGATGGCATTTTTTTGTTGTGTGTGTCTAAGTAAAAACATATTTGTATATTTTGTAACATATGTGTGTTTACATTGTCTGAGACCGGCAATAAAAAAATGGGAAAAATGAGTAGCCGAATGGTTAAGACGCTCGCTATCTAACGATGGTTACACGGTCTCTGATCCCACCATCTCATGAAACAGTTTGTTGCGGTACAATATTCTACTTCTTGACATATTTATTTCTATGTATCTTTTTGTTTCTTTATTTTTTGCACTCTCTTCTTCACTCACGAATATCTCCTCCGGTTGGTATAAGGCGCACAACTCGGCGCATGGATTTCGGAAACAAAGCAGGAGACTACGAAAAAATTGCGGGCCGGTTGAGGATTATGATACTTTTGGGTAACGACACATTACACCGAGCTTGTAGAGCTTGGCTGTTGAGAAGAGGCGACATTAGCCAGAAATAAATACCGAGAAATCCAAGCGCCGGACCGTACTACCTTTTCTTGCCAACTGGCGGCACTGGAATACCATCTACCACCCGCAACACAAGCAGACACAGTAACCACAGACGAGCGACGCGTTTTCTCGCCAACCGCGGCAGGGCGGACTGAAAAAAAAAGACATGATCAAATAAAAGGTGTTCCTTATTCTTCAAGTGTTTTGTTCCGGCTACCGATGACAGAACAGATAATAAAAGGTTTGTTGGTTGGTTCCTAAACAGCTTAGCGCAACCCACTTAGGGGGATAGGAAAATGAAAGACATAGAGAACAACAGGCTACGTGCTTCTATATAGCTACCTGAATTCTCCAACTTGAAAGTGACAAATCCTCTTGCTAGTTGTTCTCGCAATTTGATTAGCACACAAACGTTTTGATGCAACCATGCAGCGATAGAGCTGCCTTCTGCGAAGTGTATTATGAAAAATAATCCGAATGTTTGAGTTCGTGCGATATTTTAAACAAAATATCCCCGTCCATGTGCGTCTTACAGATAGTTAACCAGTGAAACTGAAACTTGTAAGCCCCTCTAATTTCAGTGGGATAAACAAGATGCATCAATTAGGTCTTTCTCAAGTATCGGATACATTTGACCATAATTCTTTTTCTGCGTTTGCCACTTGTGTGTAGGATTCATCATTTGTTGTGGACTAATGCCAAGCAGTGGGACTTGCGGAATTTTATTGCAATGGCAATGATATGAACAGTCTCGGCTGGCTTTTGCCACCGGCGTCTGCGTCACTCACCTTGCATGTATACGTATCTATATATATATGAAAATACAAAAAAACAGAAAAAGACTCTGGTGCATGGAATCAAACTTGTGTCCTTCGAATTGTGAGTGCGAGGCGTCAACCACTGCACCACGAAGAAATGCGTCCTTCAACATTCAAACGGCAAGGTATATATATCGACCACTGACCGCTATTGACGGGTATCTCTGAGTGAATTGTGTTTTTAGAATTACCAGCAAGATGGTACAATAAGCGCGTGTCGCCACATCGCGCAGCGGCGAGCGCTCAAATCTCCCACGCGTACTGCCCCGCATGAAGGAAGGGAGCAAGGCTCCCTCGCGCATCCTTATCACAAGGCGGGGAGGAGGGGAGAATTGACTTCTAGGCTCGCCTTGGGCTCTACCTGGAACAATTCTGTTGTAGTTAGCGGGCGCACAAAGACCACTGCAATCATTGTAGTCTCAGTTTGCGAAGATCGCGTGCTTTTCAGACGCAGCGAAGTAACAACTCAGACGCTTATTCGCGTGAACCTGTACCTGAGAGTACGTTCCGTGCATCATTTGTGCATGAAAAACGAGGGGCACGTTTTGATATGCGTTTCAATTTGTGCGCGATCTTCCCATTTGTTGCTATTACAGTCATTTTGCTTCGCCTTTGGGGCAAAGATGTGACTTTGTTGTGTCACACACTTCTTTTTGTCCACGACTTCTTGAATGATATGGTCCAGTTTGGAGTAGTGGTGGTTGTTCAGTTTTAGTGGCAGGTACAGGCTCGGCTATATGGCGAACAAATTTCTGTTTACCCTTGAACACGTACAGCTCTGCTATAAAAAAAAATACTTACAAGAAGCAATTATGAGAGTTCACTACGCCTCTCTCAAGATGGCGTCTGTTTTTTTTTTCAAAGGCCCGAATATTTATGCTGTTCTAAGGGATATTCTCTTTTAAAAAGGGAAATGAAAACTGAGCAAGTTTTCTTTCGAGCAGCGCACCTTCTTCTCAATTCCAAACTTTATTCCTATACTAGCAAAAGGTTTCATGGTCGATCTCCCGGAGCGGGTAAGTGCCAAATAAGAATGGCCAAGCAAGCAAGCAGCTGTTTTCAAAGCAGATGATTCGAGCGCCCAGCTCGTATTTTCGCGGAGCGAAATTATCTTAGGCCCACGTACTGTGCCATGTCAGTGCAGGTTATAAAAATTAGGTTGCGAAAGTTCCCCATGGTCCTCAGTTATCCCGTCTCTCACAGTGTGAGTCACTTCGAGATGTTAAAGCTCAATCATAAAAGCGGAGCTCAGGGGAAATTTCATAAAAAATTCAGAACGTACGATATATAGGAGAGATTTGTTAGTACAATTGGGCAATATTTTTATATTTTCTAAAAAGCTTATAGATGAAGGGGCTCATGAAAATTGATCCTATTGCATGAAGAGATATTTTGCACGCTCAGTTGGCTATTTCGGCTTGAGTTCTTTCCTCATCTTTTTCTTCCATGCAGGTTAGAAATAGCAGCGTTTTTTTCGATAACTTCTCCAGATTTGGATACATATATTCTTATCTTGTACTTGCAGCGAATGACATGTTTGACTATTTCGACTTAGAAAATTTTAGCGCTTTTAAAATCTATAAAAGAATTGAAACAAAAGGTCTCCATTTACCGAATTGGCAAAACACCACCAGAGCATAATTGAGCAACAAACTGCCTGAAATGTGTCGAACCAAAAGGTTGTCTTTTCATAGAATTTGTGATGGTTTCAGCTGGTGAAAGATATAAATTTTGGACAGGTAATCCATCAAAATATTTATGTCGCACTACTTGCAGTCAAACAATAAAATGTTTTTTGTATATGCAGACTTCAGTACATGCAGCATCAAGCACTTACTAAGTCACCATGAGATTTGGTTGCACCAACGGCGTCACCCGTTGATCGCTGCGAATGGCTCATTTGAGGTTTTCAAGGGGCCGATGCACACGTTGGGTGTCGGTTTCTTGAGCAGTGTTTCCTAAAAAAAAACAACGACGATACTTTAGCACTTAGCAATCAAAATCTGTTGCGGAGAATATTACCGAGCCAGATATGCGGAACACCATGGGCGGGAATAATCCCTTGGGTACACGGGTCACTGTGTTACCTCTAACTGTTATACGTTTAAGCCAGTGTATGTAAGAAAGGAAGGCTACCTTTTGTCAGCTCCAGCGGTGTTGCATAATTGGCGTGTACACCGTTGCGAAGGCAGCTTCCATGGCAAGCGCGACCCGGTACCACGCACGCGGTGTTTTCAGTTCGCTACTGCGCAGCGTTACTATGGCGAGGCTTCACACAAAATGCACTCATCGCATCTGAACCCTCATGACTTGACTTCCTTTTCACTCTCTGGAAAAAAGCCAACATGCGCACACTATGTTCATTGCACTCTTCATCCGATTTTCCCCTTTCCTACATGCCCACTGCAGGTGTGGGCTATATCTCTCTCTCTTTTTTTTTTTTGCAACCGGAACTGCAGAACTTCCCTCAATCTCTAATAAGCAGAAAGCCTCTACATGCCGGGAAAGAGAAGCATAGCAGCTGTGCTGCTCACTCCAGTAAGGGTATTGCTGGGAAAAATCTAGACACGGTAAAGAAAATAAAAATGGCTCTACTTCGATCGCGTACACTAACCAGAGGTAGCGAGGAAAGCGGCCTTGCCTGACTGATAAGGGGAACACGCTGTACGTATACGTTCACGAGCGAATTCACGTAGAGGTATTACTTCCTATGCAAAAATGTCTTTTGAAACCATACAATTTTTGTCGAAATTGAATTGCATGACTCAGTTCGTGCTCGGCCATAGAAATACATCAAAACAATCCCACGTTATGGCACTTTGCTAGCCATAGAGAAAGAAAACACATTTACTCATAGAAAGCGCAATGCGGTTCAAGTTGAGCGGCCTCCATAATCCAGATAGCCGCTTTCCGTCACCCTCACTTGTATTATTTGAACCATGCATCACTCATCTTCAGGTCTAAGACCACAAGGTTGGTATTCCACTCCGCTTCCGTTGATGAAGCGGCACTGGGGTTTTGTATGAATTCAATACCATATCGTGCGGAGTGTTCGGGACATCACAGCGCTTGCTGATGTAAACATTTAGGTTGTGCTAGACATAGTAGCAAGATCACCACCTCGCGGTTATAGACGAAAACCAGCCACAGTAATAACAAACAAGTACGAATAGCCGAAGATCTGTTGTTTTTGAAAGGTTTTCTAAAACGAGGTGCTGAACCGTGTCACTACACATAAGTGATTCAATCGACACTCTGTTGTCACTGTTGCCACAATCAGCATTAAGACAAGTATTCGTGCATAATCGCAAGTTCGGCAATTTAGTAGATGTTCATAGTAGGATAATTTACAGAGCAACAAGTTAGATACAGTCATTAGTGTTGTGTGCTTTTTTTCTCTCCGTATTTGATCCTTTGCACCCCTTGCGTGGTCAGGTATTCTAGGATGTACTAGTTCCGTTGCTGAAGATTTCAATCTTTAGTGTTGCGATAGACTCCCTCACATGAACCATAATGTTACGTTTCGAAATGCCTGTGTATTCTGGAAGATTCAGTTGAATGAATATTACTAACACTTTTGATTCCGATGAAAATTAGCTTTACGGTATAATTGATTCAGGTGTAAGTTATTTGTCTGGCATATCGTCTGTACTTTCAATACCTTAAGCAGCGTTTACTCAAAGTAGTTATCCGTCATCCAAAGGTAATAGCTGCAAGTTAAACTGTAATTGATTGATTGATGTGTGTGGTTTAACGTCCCAAAACCACCATATGATTATTAGAGACGCCGTAGTAGAGGGCTCCGGAAATTTTGACCACTTGGGGTTCTTTAACGTGCACCCAAATCTGAGCACACGGGCCTACAACATTTCCGCCTCCATCGGAAATGCAGCCGCCGCAGCCGGGATTCAAACCCGTGACGTGCGGGTCAGCAGCAAGTTAAAATGTAATGAATTCCATTGAACTTTATCCGGCCATGTCACGGCAATCCCTACCTGACATCACAACACAATGAGCCCTCACCAACAAGGGTTTTTCATGCTCTAGCAGACGTCATCGGCATCTATGACGCCACGGCGGTGTAATCGCTGCGCAAATTTGAGCGCGGTTACAATACAACAATTTCTTTTCTGATTTCTTAACTACTGTACAGTTTCTCTCTGGGACAGTGCCGCTTTCTGTGCTGTGAAATAGTTACATATACTTGAAACAAAATACATTCTTGCTTCGTCGTCTCTTTGAAGATCTAGTATCAGTCACTTTTACAGAGACAGCGAGTTCCTTTGAGCATATGTGTTAAAAAAAAGCAAGACTTTATGTTATTGGTCGCTTGATGGATTTGTAGAGCACTCATTTGTGACAAAAGCAGCAGCGTTTTTTATTCCTTATGCAAGTGAAATATATATATATATATATATATAGGGGGGGATAGGGGGGATATATATAGGGAGGGATTGTATACTCAAGGGTCAGTTTTCTCGTGCTTCACAATATAATAAAATATAACAACCAATATTGACAAGGAAAGTACAGGGGAAGTTATTAGACCTAATTGTAATGTAAATGTCAAGAAATAGTAGTGGATGAAAAGATAACTTGCAGTGGGCAGGAACCAAAATAACGACACTCGAATTACTGGTTCGATGCTTTACCAACTGAGCTACCATGGTGGCTATCCCCCCAGCCACTTTATTGGGTGTATATGTGATTTGTAAATACGGGAGTGTCAGTCAGCGCCACCAGTAGCAATGGCGGCGAGTGCGGCACGCTCTTTATGCCCCTGTTTGACGTTACGTAGCATGTCAACTTATTACGGACAGGCAGCTGATCGAGAATCTCTCGTATACTACCTATAGGCGTGAAGTCTGCCAGTACAAGACTCTAACAAATAGAATAAAGAAATAAGTGTACAATTAGGGGGTTGTTTTACTACGTTTGACACAATAAAAATAAGATCTAACAGACAATATAACCAAGGAAAGTATAGGGAATGTTATTACACAAAATTGTAATGTGAATGCGAAGAAAGAAAAGTGGGTGAAAACATAACTTGCTCTGGGCAGGAACCAAACCTGCGGCTTTCGAATAACGCGTTCGACACTCTATCACTGAGCTGCCACAACGGCCAGTCATTTTATTGGGTATATATGTGAATTTAAACCTGGGAGTGTCAGTCAGCGCCACCAGTAGCAATGGCAGCAACTGTGGCCCACTCGTTATGAGCCTGTGTGGCATCAGGCTGCACGTGAAATAATTACGAGCTTGCAGCTGACCAATAGCTCCTCGTATACAACCTAAAGACACTAAGTCTGCCAGTACGAGACCCTCGTAATGAATAAGAGAAAGAACTGTATACTTGAGGGCTCGTCTTGCCGTGTTTTGACGCAATAATAATGATATATAACAGAAAATAATGTCGAGGAAAGTATCAGTGAAGTTATTAGACTGAATTGTATTGCAAATGCGAAGAAAGAAAAGTGAGTGAAAAGTTAACTTGCCGTGGGCAGGAACTGAACCTGCGACCTTTTAATAATGTGCTCGATGCTCTACCATTCAGCTACTATGGCGTATATTCCCCCAGCCACTTTATTGGATATGTATGTGAATTTCAACCTGGCATTATCAGTCAGCGCCGCCGTGGTAGCCGCCATGGTAGCTCAGTGGTAGAACACTTCCGTACGTAATTCGACCTTCCACAAATTAGCTTAGGCCGCACTTCTACTATTTTCCACCACAGCGACACCGGAGATCACGCATCATGGCGTCAACGGCCATATCGTGTGTCCGCAACCGAGCACGGAGTCAAACGACAAGTTATACAACCTTCGTACAGTCCCTGGGCCTCTCCCGTAGTGTTGATAAAATGGAAAGATGGCATAGTTCGCTTTCGTGTGGACTACTTTTTCACTGAACAACCTAACCCGTGAGGATGTTTACCTGCTTCCTTGTATGGAACACGTGCTAGACTGCATCCAATGCGCAGATTTTTTCTCCTCCCCCGCTTTACAATCCGGCTACAGTCAGGTCACTGTGGCGGAAGCAGACCGCTCCTAGACTGCCTTCGTCCTTCCAGATGGTCTATATGAGTTTACCGTCATGCCCTTAGGCCTATGCAATGCGCGTGCCACATTTGAAACAATGATGAATGCGATCCTGTTGGGCATAAAGTGGGGAAATCTGCCTTGGTTACCTGGACGATATCATCTTTCTACCGAACTTTCCTCCTCACCTACTTTGACTCGAACGCACCCTGACGTGCATCGCACACGCCGGCATCCAGCTCAACATTAAGAAATGTCGCTTTGCTGCTCCGCAGCTGGTCATCTTGGGTCATGTCGTGACGAAAACGTAATTATCCCTTGTTCGAGAAAAATAGAAGCTGTCACCGACTTTCCAACACCTAAAACCCTGAAAGAACGTCGTGGCTTTGTCGGGTTATGCTCATATTTTCACGCTTCATACACAACTTCGCCAACATCATATCTCGAGGCAGTGCTCCCAACGCTGCGTCGTCTTCTCACCTTTCATCCGATCCTGTGGCATTTCGACCCAAGCGCACCGACAGAAATACAAACGGACGCCAGTGGTGTGAGCCTTGGTGCCGTCATTTATCAACGAAAGCTCGGCTTCGATGAGTGTATACGTCATAGCTCTCCCCAGCCGCGCCCTGACAAAGCCATGTTTTTCTTTCTTCTTCCTCTAGTTTTTTTTCCTTTTCTAATTTTTCTCTAATTTATTTTTCGTTCATCTTTTCCTCCTGTTTCAACAAGCGTTAAGAAGATACGGCAAATGTGTATATACTATTAGGCCTTGAAAAAGATGAGGCTGCCGTCGAAACATCCGCAACAGTTATGTAAAAGCACATCTATAGTCATTATATATATATATATATATATATATATATATATAACAGACAGTATATATATATATATATATATATATATATAGACAGTATATATATATATATATATATATATATATATATATATAACAGACAGTAATGCCAAAGAATGTATAGGGGAAGTTGTTAGAACCAATGGAGTGTAAAGAAGAAGAAAAAAAAGTGGGGGAAAAAAGAACCAGCCGTCAGCTGCCCGCTCGTAATAAGTTCACGTGCTACGTGACGCCACACATGCGCATAAAAGGGTGTTTCACACTCGCCGCTTGGCCTATAGATGGCGCTGATCGACACTCGTACTTCTACATTCACATATAAACCCAAAAAAGTGGATGGGGGAAGGCCGCTGTGATAGCTCAGTCGTTAGAGCATCGAACGTTCG